TGGCGGAAGCCAGATTTACCTGCATAAAGAAGAAATAATTCTAGTGCAATATGGACACAATGTCAGCAAGAAGTCTGATGCAGTACAGATACAGCTGTGCAACGCGGATACAGCTGTAAGAAGAAATTACAACACATCCCGAAGAATTAATGACAGATTACAGCTGTAGGGAAAGCGTGCACAAGGAAGAATTATGACAGATTACAGCTGTAGGGAAAGCGTGCATAAGGAAGAATTATGAATGTGGCTACAGCTTTGTGGAAGAATTATAATGCAATGTGATCACAGCTGTGATGATGCATGGCATAATGTGGTTAGAGCTGTGAGGAAGAATTATGAAACAATGTTGATACAGCAGTGAGAAAGAATTATGCAAACAATGTGCTTACTACAGCGGTAGGAAAGAATTATGGAAACAATGTGCTTACTACAGCTGTGAGAAAGAATTATGGAAACAATGTGCTTACTACAGCTGTGAGAAAGAATTATGGAAACAATGTGGTTAACACAGATGTGAGAAAGAATTATGAAAACAATGTGCTTACTACAGCTGTGCGAAAGAATTATAAACACAATGTGGTTACAGCTGCGAGGAAGAATTTTGAAAACAATGTGGTAATAGCTATGAGGAAGAATTGTGAAACAATGTGGTAAAAGCTATGAGGAAGAATTGTGAAAACAATGTGGCTACAGCTAAAATAAACAATTGTGACACAATGTGGCTACAGCAGTGAGAAAGAATCATGACACATTGATACAGCTGCAAAGAAAGAATTATGACACAATGTGGTCACATATGTAAGGAAGAATTAGGACACAAGATGGATTCAGGGGCAAAGGAAGAATTATGGTGCAATGTGGATACAGCTGTCAAGATTAAAGATGAGGCAATACAGACAATGAGTTTAAGAGTGAAGAAATAAAAGAAATGTCTGGGCAATCCCTAGTAGCAAGTTATAAGACAAGAAAGTACTATGTTGGATACATCTTGAGACAAAACAAGCAGAGGAACACTAAACAGGCACTATTACTCAAATGGGAGACACAAGAATAAACCCTAAAAGATCAATCAGAGGAGTTAGAGGTGACTAACTGGATTCCTTCCATGACATTGATGCAAGTGCACTGGATAGTGTGGAATAGAAGAACTGACTGCGAGACTATGTGACACAAAAAGACAATGAATTAATATAGTTGTAAAGAATGATGACACAATGTGAAAAGGATTGTAAATAATCATAAGACAATGCTAAAAAAAATCAAGAAGAAGTGTATGGTTACTGAGAAATGTTGGATAGCATGCAAGGTGAAAAAGTCTTGGGATCTTGGCATATTTTCTGTTGAATGTGTTGATATAGCGTTAGCAAAGTCAATTGGAGACTCACTTTCAAATTCAGCTGTGACTCGCTGCAGCCCCTAGGTTACCAGAGTTAACACTCTGGTGTAATTGGAGGAACATCGTTGTAGCTACAAAGTTGCGTGCGAATGGAAACACAGGCGGAAAGTTTCTTATCAACTGTCCGTACTGGTGGCAGAGCACTTATGGTTTACAACCACGTGCAACGATGCTGGTTCACATCTCCCGACTTTACCTTTTTGGAGATCAGTGACATAGGTAGGGTGTAGGAAAATATCTGCAGTTGTGTGAGAACTAATATGGCGTCTGCAGTGTGTGTGTGTGTGTGTGTGTGTGTGTGGATATACAAGTAAGTGAAGAATGTATTTATGATCAAGGATCCACTCGAACAACAGAAACAGTATAGCGTAGTGGTGAAACACATGCCAACCTTTAAAGGCCCAATTTAACCCAACCAAAACTGGGTACCAGGCAATGTCCGGGGAAGTTGCTCCGCCCCTTCAAACTGGATGCCACACAGGTCATTCATTTCCAGATGACCAAGTAAGAATGCAACAAAAACAATTACCTGAAAAATAATGAGCACACATACAATACATTGCCTCGCACATTTTCCTCTATTTCGTACAAGAAGGAACACTTTTTACTGAGACAAAATAAATTAAATTGTCAAGTTAGACTACATCTATACCCGAAATTCAAGATTAGCCAGGTGATTACCGTGGTAACTTCGAAATTATCATGGGGAACTTTTTGTTTACATAAAACAGGAGAGTTCAGTTTTATTGGTGCAGTCTTGGCTAGTTTCAGTAAACATCTATTCAATGAGTGGTAAATAATTCTGAAGGCACAACCCTTACCAAAAACAACTGGATATTGCAATTTATGTATTTGGGAGAAAAGGGTTTATTTGTTTATGATACGTGTTATGTTGATTTAACTCTACAAATGTGCTTGGCGAGATGCAGCGAAATGCACGAGGCAATTCATTGTGCAACGTATTGTTCGAGCAAGCATCATTTAAAGAAGAAAAAAATAAATCACATGAAACACTGAACTTTCCCCTTAAACGTCATTTAATCTGAATAGATATTCACAAATTCTGAAACTACAAACGATACACCTCATAGATTAGCCTCTGTAGGCAAACATGCGTACGTCTGAAAGACACACTAGACGTTTATTTATAGTTTGTAGCACAAAGCAAGCATGACTGTTTACATATTCAACTTGTCGTAAAGGTATACAGAAACAGACACAAACCAGAATCCAACAAACTACCAGAGTCCCATATTCATTTACCATAATTTTGAAACACCTGGTTATCCCAACAGATTACATAAATTATAAACGCAATCTTGATTTCAGTTTTAAGTTACCAGTGTCCACCTTGGACATTAACCAAAGAACATTAACCACCTTTTAAATATAGAAAGCCAGCTTCAGGCCCAAGAAATAAGATATATGAAAAGGGGGTTCAAGTGACAAGAAGGGACATAAGTTCGCAATCAAAAAATACATCAGAATCTTGAAACTCAGGCCTTACAAACTCGAGCCGGTCAGTCACAGTTAGGACATGTATGCAGAATGAGAAAAAAAATGTGCCAGATCCGACAGTCCCTGACTATCAGAGGACTTAAATGGAAGACAGAGAATTCTGGCAATCTCTCTAGTGTCTGCCAGAGAAGTATGTAAGTAAAAAAGTAAGATATTTGAGAAAGGCCACAAACAAAACCAGAAGAGCCTGAAACAATATCCACCATTAAATTCAATGAGAAACAACAACAGAAGTGTTCAGCCACCTAATAAGAATAAAACCAAAGAAGCCAGCAGCAAAAGAACACAATATGAAAACAGAAACAACCGGCAATAGAGGAAAATCTAGAAAAATATAGACCAAAAAGGTTAATGACAATCTAAGACTTCTCAATATCACTGCATACCAACTGAAAGCAATACAGCTCTTCTAATGAGTACCTATTAAAATGCAATGCCTAGCGGCGTAAAGGAGAAACAAACATAAGAAGATCAAGAGACCTTGCTTCTACATCAATGATTTATTAAAACAACGACATCCAATAGTTAATATTTCAGTTCCACGTAGACTTTTATTCCGAAAACATTTCATGGTAGCCATATCTGGAGAAGATGGGACCAACATTTAGCACTAAAAGTCAAACAACAAAACACAATTCTGTCAGGTGGAGTTCACTATTGAGGCCACAGCGCAATCCACTGTATCTAAAGTTAGCATGACTCTACTGCCTAGTCCTAACTATTTTATTAAGTATGAGGATGAACCTTTGCATTTATTTGTTCAAACAATAATCAGTAACATGGACGGGCCAGCATAAAGCTGACCACATCTCCGAATGTCAAGTCTCTTTGCTAGCATTTTCAGGTTTACCGCTGCTGACATCACCCGCCCTCTTTATTTCCATCCAACTCCTCGTTGTGTACGGCCATTCAACTGCCTCTCTATCATCTCCTATTCTCTGTATGTGTCCCGAATGCAGCAGTCTATAGGTCTAAGACTATTTATTAGCAATTTTAATAAAAAGGGTTCTTTAACTAACTACTAACATGAAACAAGATAATCGCCTCAACATGATGGGCAAAAATGGCATAGTTTAAAAATATCACAACATGAAAGTGACAAAGCAAAACACATAAAACGAAAAATGAAATAGAAACTTACCAACCATACATTCAACAAATTTTAAAATGTAGTTGCAAATAAAACCATTCAGTCCAAAAGTGTTCTGATACCCTCCTCACTGTGGATAAAACTACTCAGTCCAGAGGTGCTCCGAAACTCTCTTAACTGCAGGTAAAAATATACTGTCTACACGCAAAACTAATTTAGTCAAAGTGTTGTTACCCACAAAACTAATTTAGTCAAGAAAGTGTTCTGTTATCCCCCGTACATAAAACTTATTCAGTCTAAAAGTGTTTATGGTCAATCTTTTGATACCAGCCCAGAGAGGACAAATATATCAAACGAGCATCTAGCTAACAGAATTCACTGCACCTGGATCTGCATAAAAAATGTTCAGTGTCACGATGGATCACTTAGAACCTCCCCACGGCACATACAACAATCAAATTATTTAGTTCACAAGCATTCCCATACCCTCCTTGCAGAAACATCAACGTTTTTCTATACATCCTCCACCTTTTACCAAATATCAACATCCTTAAACACATTAAAAAAAAAAAAGACTAGCCATAGTCCCATTTATTTAAATACTGCATTCCAGAGAAGACTTTTTTTTCAGAGGAAAGGCAGGACGGACATACAGCCAGCACCATTTTTATTGGAACTCTGCACTGGCGGCTGAGAATGGCAACACTGCACATATAGGAATACCCCGAGTGCTGTGGTCACTTCTTGAATCAACTCTGGGGAACTCTTTTTTTTTTGTAATTTTCATGACTTGAGTTTTTTTCTGCTGTTTAGACTAGGACTTCTGATTTGACTTTCTGCACCATGTCACTTTGGGGTAAACAGAACAACAACAAAAATGAGTTCACGTGCACACATTCATAAGTATCAATCTAACAACGAGAACAAAATCAAGCAATAGATTCTGAATGACACCAACAAAAATCAACCTGAAACAAGGTCTGAAACAGAAACAATTTAATCCTTGCTGCCGCTTCGTGATCGATGACCGGCATCATTGCCAGCCTGATCAGCTCCACCACCATTCTCCCGGTCACCGTCCTCCTTGTTGTTCTCATGGTCACTATGCTCCTGCTCGGTGTGGTTGTCAGGGGGCGGACGGGGACTCCTGGAATGACTCTTCGACTTAGAGTTCCGAGGTGACCTTGAACGAGACCTGAAAAAGCCAAGTCACATTCAGTCAGTATTGGATCAACTGAAAAGGTTCAGGATAAACTGGGAATGCAAAAAGCAACTAAATAATTTACAAATAAATTTACAGTTATGCAGTTTAGATAGAGACGCAAGAAAACAGTAGACTGGACTGAGACTTTAGAAATAGCATAGAAAGGGTAATGTAATCTAAGTTTCAGCTTCATAGCAAACCGGTCACCCCGTAGTTGCTCTGCTCCTGTGCACACACACACACACACAAACAGAATGTTTATCAGTCCCTTGTGGAGAGATTGACAGACTGAAGAATTACTAGAAGTCAATGTAAAAAAACATTCCAGCCTTCAACGGAGCTTGAAACAAGGACTCTATCTGCAATAACTTATTTCTTTATTTCCCCCCCCCCCCCCCCCCCCCAAGACACGGTCAACGGCACTCTATAAACATAGAAGTTTAGCATCCAAAGCCTAAAGCCACTCTGGCACAAAATATTTGGTGGCTAATCCAAACCTTACCTAGACGTGCTGGCTAGCTTCTTTTCCCTGGAGCCACTCTTGGAGCGACTGTCTTTCTTTCTCTCATCTGAGACACTCCTAGATTTGCGGGACCCGCTCCTGGACCTATTATTTCTTTTTCTGTCTCCAGACCGACTGCGACTCCTCTTCCTGTCTCTAGAAGAGCTGCGCCTGCTACGGCGGTCCCGGGACTGGCTGCGACTTCTCCTCTTCCTGTCGCGAGATCGTGACCTAGGAACGTCAAAGCTTTACATTAGTTTAAATAAACACATTTTTATTACTAAAGGGTCACATATTTGGCAGGCAAACCCACCTTATATTCTGCCCCCACAAATACTCATTATTTATACACGAACATTGTATTGTTTTATCTCTCTCTCTCTATATATATATATATATATATATATATACATACGTGGTGTACACCCATATGTGTGTACGCATATATATACATCTGCATATTTATATACACGCATTGATCAAGCAAATAATGTGTATATATGCTTTCCCCAATAGATATTTTTGTTAAAGTAACGGAAAGGTTGAAATAATAGCAAACAACAAAACCTAACCTTGTAATTATCAATTAAAGAATGTTCTCACACTTTGTCTAGAATTACCTTTGCATAATACTGCATTAAAATTTGCTGCTAGTACCTATTCCAAAATATTATCCCCGCAGTAGTAACTATTATTTAAAAAGAATCCATTATAGTTCCCTATTGAACACCATAAAAGTATTTTGCGGGGTATGATTACTAAGAGATTGCAGTTGCCAAAACAAAAAAACTCTTGTAAATTTTAACTGATTGTGTTCCGTCTCCACAATAAGTCAGAAATGGTTGTTTTTGTGAGTACTACCTGATGAGAAAAAAGCCTCCATGGATGACTCGCAGTACTATTATAAAACCATGACAGCAGTTTCCTTTAAAAAAAAATTATTATTATAAATAAACCATTTTTGTGTAAACAGAACATGAGAACCACGAAACTGTTTTAACTAATAAGTGTTCTAACAAGATACCAGAAAGTTAAATTAAAGAATACTTCATAATTAACAAAAATATATATACCTTCGCCTGGGAGAAGGTGACCTCCCACGTCGACCACCAAAACCGCCGCCTCCTCCTCCACCACCACCACCTCCTCTTCTAGGCTGCCCCCATCTCACCTCTGGGCAGTCTCGAGCCCAATGCCCAGAACGTCTACAGCGGAAACACTCATCGTTGCTCTGGGAGGAGGAATCAAACCTCGGTGTCTGGGTAGAAGGTAATATTTAAAATTGTTATAAAATGTCAGTATGATACAGAGTTGTGGGTATTGCTGTCTGCTCTGTGGAGAGGCACCAGCTAGGTTTCCACCAAAATTATTTGCCATGTAACAACCTTGTAACTATTAACTGAACCGCACCATCAACACTACCATCCCATGTAACAGTCTTGTAACTATTACCTGAACTGCACCACCAACACTCCCATTCCATGTAACGACCTTGTAACTATTACCTCAACGTCACCACTAACATTCCCCATCCCATTAACAACCTTGTAACTATTACCTCAACGTCACCACTAACATTCCCCATCCCATGTAACAACCTTGTAACTAATAACCATACCACTAACACCCCCATCCTATGTAAAATGTTTGTAACTATTACCTTAACCGCACCACTAACACTCGCATCCTATGTAAAACCTTGTAACTATTAGGTTAACAGCACCATTAACACTTCCATTCCATGTAACAACCTTGTACCTAAAATTTTAACAATACCCCTACACATGCACTCAATGCAACATCCTTGTACCTATTAAATTAATCATACCCTTACATTCCTACACCATGTAAAGCTGTGTACCTGTTAATTTAACGGTACCCCAATATGACCGCTACATGCAACAAAATTGTACATATAAAGTAAACCGTACCACTATCATTTCCACCATGTGTTATAAATCCATAATTAGGGGGTAAGAATCATTGACAAAAAAATTAACATAAAACCATTTTAAAAAGGCCCCCCCCCCCCCCCCCCATAATTCCATTTAACAATGTAACCAAAAGAATAAAAAATGATAACTGGAAGTTATCAATAAACACAAATGCAGCAGAGAATTAACTGTTAAACTTCTGCAAGCCTAAAAATAATAGTTTATAGCGACTCATGTTTTACCACATGGCCTGGTCGCGAGTTAACCCTGGCCTAAAAACTTCCACGCTTTGGGACAATTGTTAACTGTAAATATAATGAAATAAAAAGCACACTCACCATTCGTCTGTCTTTCCCTCCTTTGGCCCATTCAACAGTGATAGTCTGTCCATTGATGTTTCGACCATGCTCATATTTCACACAGTCCTACAGGATGTCAAAAAAACAAAGAGTTGTGACTTTAGCCAGAAGCATATCACTGTGTGTCAGTGATGCAAGCAGAATTATAACTACAGGGCCTCCCATAAGCTTCCATACTTGGGAAAAATAACCATATCAGCAATACCACTCCAAGCATTAATCCTAGATGTGCTTATACGTGGTTAGAAGGAGAAAACTGGCGTACATTGTAACGGTAGGAAAGTTGGAGGCGAGGCATCAGAGTCAGATCGACAGAAGAGATGCTGGACAGTGTGACATCATGGCATGGAAGATCATCTGTGTCAGAGTTGACTGAAAGTACACGCGACAAAAGGTTGTGGACAGACATGACTACCAACGCAAAAATGCATCGACTTTAAGATGTTCTTATTAAATACATGTTCTTTAGCAGTGGAGGACACACATCGGAACATGTTTTGTAAACTATGGTAGCCATGTAGAGCATTTTATATAAATAAATATGCTTTCACCTGAAAAATGTTTTTTTTCTTGTGGGACACACTGTACAAGAAACAGAAATCTTTTCACATGTTTAAGATGACCGTGTCCCACAAAAACTTGGTTTTTGTGACACTGTTCCAAAATGTTCCCACAAACACATGACAGAGAACACTGTTATATAACATTCCCCCTCCCAAGTGTGCTGGCTACACCAGACTGGTCTGGCAGTTACCAGTGCCCTGATTATAATCTCTTTGAGGACTAAATGGGTGTCTGGGATCTGACTGTTGGTCTTAGGAGGTGATCAAACCTTTAGGGAAAAAAACATTTAGTTAGAATAGAAATGCTAAGTCACAGTTCATGCTGTATTTTGTACCCCGTTGACAAAGACTGGTTGAAACATTTGGTTGCGTTTGTGTGTGTGCATTCTTTCTATTCTCGCCATTAGCTTTGTCACATTTTGCATTAATTTTAGCATATGTTGCAATCACTCAAAGACAAGTCACCCATTATTTACATTTAAAACAGAAAAAAGACAGAACAAGGAATGTACAGGAGGAAAATAATTCTTGCACACAGCTAGTTAAAACAAACAAGACGGAACACAAAACAAGACGGAACACACAAAAACTACAACTATACACACACACTATTTAAATATATAAGAAACAAGATTTAGGTAATGTACTCATCAAGAAAACCAACAATGTGTCTCGCTATACCAGTGTTCTTCAACCTTCTCATAACCATGGACTGGGAAAATAGGACAACATGACAGCTGACACAAATGTAGAAGAGAATGTATCTGTTAAATCTAATGTCACTAAGATTAAAATGTATAAAACATTAATAAGACCAGTTGTTTTATATGACTCTGAAACTAAAGGCCTTGCTGCAAATTTTCAGCAAAAAAAAAAAAAAAAAACATATAAATACGATAAATCTCTGGATATATAATCAGTGGGGCAAATGGTGAGTGAGAAGCAAACAACAAAAAGTATTAATCTGTTCAAAACACCACTGATCACTGGCAGGGGCATATTGAGAGAATGTCAGATGTGAGAGAGAGAGGTAAAAACTACACAGAGAAGCTGAATGGTCGTAGACCACAAGGCAGACCAAGAAGACAATAGAGATAATGTCCATACAGGCCTGCAAACACTTGGTGTCACCAAATGGAAAGATAAGGTCAAACAGAGAGATGAATGGAGACAGTTGATATCGGCAGCTCTGAACCTCAAGAGCTCGGAATGCTGAAGAAGAATGTCACCAAATTACAATTGTCAGCTCGTGTGACACCTGCTGCTAATTTGGAAATTTAAAAAAATCTGCAACGTACTGCTGTGGCGTCATGCAGCCGCAGCACGATTAGGCAGAGGTTTTCTGGCGGTTGCAGAAACAAATCATGCAGAGATGGTACATAATGAGCTCACAAGAATATGATGTTAATGTAACCCTTAAAAGGTGTTTATTAATGTTAAATGAGTGTTCTAAAGTGTGTTTGTCTTACCAAAATTATATATATATTTTTAAAAACAGAATAAATCTCTATTCCCAATGATTATCTACAGAAGCTATAATAATCAGGGTTACTCCACCACGAGTCTTCCATTCTCTATCTAATGTCTGCCTTTTCCTGTATCCTGGATTTCAAACTGCTTTTGTTTTCCCCATCTGCATCAATTCATTCAACAAGCCATATCACTTTAATGTGATGTACCAACTTGCCAATGAACATGTTCTTTTCCTTAGCATTTATCTTTCTCAGTCTAAAACATTTGTCGACATGCATTTAAAAGGGACAGACTGTCAACCCCCCATCCCCATTATTCCAACTTACATAAAATAATGAACAACAAATTCTGGATACATAAAAATGATGCACTTTTTTCAATGAGTACAACTGTGAGGGTTACATTTCAATGAGCTGACACACTACCAGCAAAATAAACAAGGCAAGAAATCCACAGTACGAAACAAAAATAAACATACAATAAAAGATAAAACATACTGGTCAAACCAAGCCGGAGGCAGCTCAGTGTTCTAGGCCATCCCACCCAACCAGGATAAAGCAAGGACTATGGTCTCTGAGGCCATGGATTGCTGAAGACCACCCACAGTGTGGACTGCTGAAGGCCACCATTGGTACAGACTGCCGAATGCTCTCAGAGGACCTCTCCAAAATTGCAGACTACCACAGGTCTAAGGATAAGCAACAACCACCAGAGCAGGCACAGGTTCAAACCCAGAGCTTTTCTGCAGCACAGCTGGACGTTAAGTACAACCACTCAGATGCCTGGCTGATGACTCCAGTGCGGAGGCGACTACCAGCCTGCCAAGGGTACTAGCAGCTGCCACTGAAGTCTGCAGACATTACATTCACAACACTGTCCTGTATGTGAACAGGCCTGTTTTTGCTGTGAGAGTGTTTGCCCGGTTCTCTAGAATGTACATAAATCTGTGGAGCAAGCATCCTGTTTTATTCTCATCAAACCATGCAACAATCCTCAACCAGAGAAATCTTGGCAGCTTCAGCAGGACATGACAGTATCAAACAATGCAAGGAAGTTCAAGTTCTACACAGAAACAGGCCCAAAGTCAAGTAAATACCCAACAAGCTACTGGAGGCCATTGTGAGGTCAGACAAGCTCTGCAAAGACAGGGCTATTAAACTGGTAGCCTGGCCTGCCAAGGCCTAGCAGATCATGCCAACCGTACTGTACTGATAGTCTCCCCAGTGAGAGTAGGTCATGTTCTATTGATAACTATTTTTGGACTGGTACAATTTTGCAAGAGTTATGGGTGCACCGTTCTGTTGTTTGCTTTCTGGCTTGTCTTGAAATTATGGGGGTTTTATTCTTTGAGAAAGAGTGCCCGTGACATAGGCTGCAATACTCTCTAGAGGTTTGTGCGTTAGACCCAGTTTCTCAGTGTTTTTGTAGTGTTAAAAAGTGATGGCATGCTGAAATATAGAGCATGCGATGTTAACGGCATTGGGGAACACCTTGTACCAAGGCCAGGTGATTCAAGGTCGACCAATTAGGCAGAAGTGAGCTAGTGTGTCTCTGGAGGAACTATTTTGGAACTAAATAACCCTGCATTAAATTAAGGTCAGACAAAGTATATGCACTTGTTTCTCCTCATGATCTTAAACATTTAACATACTGTTTTTTTTTTTTAAATTCCAAATGAGGCCAGAAACCAACAGTCTGCATACGAAGTGAGCCAGATCTGTAAAATAGATGTGCAGGAGAAACGCAAGCTCTGGGACAAAACCAAAAGTGGATAAACAACCAGAATTGTCTGACTGAGTTTATTGTCAGTGAAACCAAAGTAGAAGAAGACAGTTAAAATGTTACTGCAATGCACTTTTAATTGCATTAAATATGTCATATGTGAACAATATTCCGAATTGTAATATATTCTCACTGCATTGTTACTGAAACTATAAAAAAGACTGCTGTTAATGTATGGGGTCATGGGTCACTTGCTCTATAAAAGAGGTTGAGGACCCTAAAAGTCTGAAAATAATAGATTAATGCGGTGCTCTAAAGCACAAAAGATTACCATAAGCAAAAGTTTCAATTGAAAAAACAAAAAACACACAGCTGCCAATATACTTATGCTATGAAAATATATGTGGTGTTTTTATTTGTGCCATGACGAGGTAAATAAGTGCCTACTCACTACTCTGATAATAAAATATGGTATTTTTGATCACAGATATCCATCTGACCACAGCTTGCATAGGCAACCCCTTTCATTGTGCTTAAGTGTTGGGGCTCTCTCCGGAAAGGTCGTCAGAGTGCTGGCTAAAATGGGATATTAATTTGTAAAATACAAGACGGGCTCTGTATGCAATATTCCCAGTTAACCTATTGCAGCCAACCTCCATTTTAGAGATTTAAAAAAAAATCTACTGCACCAAGTTGACTCCCACATTATACAATAATTACACAAATGCTGTGAAACTCCAGAAGTCAACTGTGAAGTCGTGTGCCGGCTGACCCAGGGACGCTCCTGCAGCAAGTGAGCTGACGAAACTCGGCCAAAGGCAGACCAGACCACGCCAAGCAAATGACTTAAGACCCAGGACTAGCAGAGGAACCACTGGTCAGTGAGATCCCCCAAACGGACTGGTTGAAGAGGGCTAGTTACTCCTGAAATAGTAGTATCCACAAGGAAAGCCTTAACTGGACTGAGCTGTGTGGCAAGAAAGGGCACAATGGCTCAACTGTTAACCAGATGAAAAAACACAACAGCTGAGTCAGTTATGTCATGTATTATCATACAAGAATAACAACTCTCTAAAGTTCACTCACACTCTTTATCCATCAAGTTCACTCAACATTCAACGTTTTTATTTTCCAACATTTAAAAAAGTGACAAAAACAGGACTGACTAACCAAGCTATTATCAAACAATTATTTCACCAACGACTAGAAAGCTTCATTGGTGGGAAAAGGGGCCATGAAAATAACATAGAAACAGCAGAAGGTTTTGACTGAAACCTTTATCAACGAGTACCACAAAAAGAATGAGAATTACAGACACCAGCGCTCACAAGCTGGAGAAACTGGTGTCAATGTTCTTTTCTTGTGGATTTTCTCTCTTTGTGTTGTACTCAGTACAGACTTCAATAACAATGTTAGGTTGTACCCCCCCCCCCCCCCTTTCGACCAACTTAGTCACAGTTCTTGAATTATATCTGCTGCTTAAAACAGTAACTTGTATGGACATTCCATAAACAAATCAAAGTAAAGGATGACAATTATATGTGAATGTAAAACAGAGATAGTAATTTCCAATATAAACACAACCACAACAGGAAAACATCACAAAATTAGTGAACAGACTGCGTCACAGTACCAGGTAGTCTGATTCAATGCTTACTTGTATATATACTTGTTTTTTTTTCTCAATCTCTTTAAAAGAAACATTTCTAACAAACACTGTTACTGAGTCGTCAAATGCCATAGGTGCAACAACTAAACTAGTTTAGTTTGAGTTATACTGCTGATTACCTTTATCTTATTCCACATAGACATTACTAAAACGGCTTGGACAATGCATCGTGGTTTACAGCTAGGTAGCTGTATCAGTGTTTATTAGCTCTACATATCAAGTGCAGCAAACACATAAATAGTTGCTGGTAAAGGGGCAGGGAGTCTACCCCTACACCCATATTGGGGCTGCCGGTTTAGGAAGGCAGTTCGTTGACACTGTAAAATAAAAGGCCACGTGTACAAGCAGACAAAATATGGCCTGCACACTAAAAGAAGGGCAACTGTTTAGATCCCTATGCTGCTGATTCAGACCTGTTGGTTTTTTCTGATTGATTTTACATGCATTGGGGCATTTCTTGATACAAATAAGTACAGGTTATTCACTTCCACACATTTTCTAATGATACTGTGGCAGACCTTACAAAATAATAGGGGTTCACATGTGTAAGCAAACTGTGAACCACTGCTGTAATGATTATGTTTTATAATATAAAACATGTCACAATTGTATAAGTTGTAACACATTCATGTAAAATCAAAGAATCAATACAAGCCACTGAAACCATTTAAACTTGAAAAGCCTACCTCAGCATCTCGTTTGTCTTCAAAGTCAATAAAAGCATATGCTGAAATATGTAACAGCACAAATTATGGTATTCATATCATACAGATATACTAATGTTATGATACACTGTAAAACAAACTAGATCAATGGTTTCTGTTCTGTGTGGTCATCTGAACTGATTTTAGATATCTGGCTATCCTAGGAAAAATGGTCCCAAATTTTCCAGGCTAAGAAAATACCCTAACAGGGCCTCATATGTAAATTGTGGACCTCTTTCAGGCTACTATACCGCCACTGTCGAGAGTATCCCATGCACGGCTACGCGCGGCGCAGAGGGCCGCTAAACAAGATGGCTGGGACTCACGAGCAAATAAAATGGAGGAAGCTGCAGGAGATGGGGTAGCTGCTGCTCTTGAGTCCCAGCCATTGAGTTTAGCCCCCCCCACCCCCACCGCTATGCGCGGCGCAGGGGGAAAATCTTGCGGTGACTTTAACCAGCAGAAGCTTTTCACGGTATAGCTGCCGGAAAGAAGTCTGCAATTTACACATTACTGAGGCCCCGTTCGGGTATTTTCTTTGCCTCAATAATTTGGGACCATTGTTCGGAGGATAGCCAAGAGATCTACATCATTTAGGACCAACCCCTCTCCCATTTTTTGGTTAGTAATCCTAATATACATTCACCTTTTTTCCCCCTCTAAAAATATGAACATTAACAAGTAGGGGTCCTTGACAGACCTTAGAAAATAACAGGTGGTCGGCAGATGGTATCTAAATAGGAACCACTGTACTAGTAATAAAAGGTAACAAACGTTAGATAATGGAATGGGAATAATGTGGTCAACATCATGCCAGCCCCCTTTACTTTTATAAGACATTACCTCTTACCCATTTTACGCTATGTCAACCTGAAAGCCAAGGTCAGTTTTAAAGAAAAAATCTAATGTGGTGCAGATTTCACCCCCCCCCCCCCCCCCGATCTTTTGGTTGTGAGGCAAGCATCAAGCCCTATTCTACACGGGTCCCCAGTTTGTACACATACTACGGGCCCAGTTGATAAACCCACATGAATCCCCAGTTTATACCCTACGCAGGTCCACATCTTATAAACTCACCATGGACCCTTAGTTTTTTACCAACCATGTGCTAAACTGTGACAGGTGTACTAAATTAAATAATCCATTGTGCTAAACAGTGAAAACCAGACTGAAAAACATGTGCTAAACTGTAAATGCTGAAATAAAAATTGACATTATAGCACTCGAGACACACCCATAAGCGCTCCGTCGCGATCTTCAGTGGCAAGCGGAGGTTTTTATTTTGATGGCACCAGTAACTGTTTGATGACTGAATATTCGTCTCGCCATCTCAATGAGTGTCAACTGGTAACTCCTGGCAGTGCCATTCTCTTCAGACCCTAATGATTTATTTGTGCCTCCAAGGGGCCCTCACAACATCCAGCTTGTCATACATCAATTCAATACAAAATGATGCAGAACCAGCCAGTCTATCTGCCTGTTCATTTCCAAACACACCAGCACAACCTGGAGAAAATATCAAGAGGACGCTAACTACCCAGGCGCTTCTTGTTTGCAGCTACTCTGAGATATGACTCTGCTTGCAGAAGATTGAGCCTATCTGCTGCTGAACTGTGAACGGTTTACTAGACTATGAAACACATGCTAAATTGTAGAAGGTAAACTAGATTGCTTGATTATTAATAAGTGATGGAGTATATTCAAGTGACTTTGGGATTTTTTGCCTGGGGGTACACAGTACTGGCACCTTTTTCAGGACTACTGCAATAGACAGTCTTAGCTAAGCACAACATCTGGGGTTTTTTTTTCACAGAAGCTTTATAATTAAATGCCAGATTCTTCTTCCTCAGAAAAAAAGCTATGAGTGACCATTTTTATGTAAAACTTAGCAGACATTAATTGATCAGTTTCTGTTGCTAATTACATCAACACTACAGGCAAACCGTACCCACAAATTTTCTTCTGCAGCTGGCCCAAAAATGGTGAATGGCACGCCGTGCTTTGGTTTACAAAATCCATGTTTGCATCACATGCTTAATTTCAGCAAAGCTTAATTAGTCGTCTGTTACTACAAGGCTGTTAAGTGGTAGCGTATCTATTTACCCCTCCCCTTCCTTGACCCCTTTCAAATGGGGTCCAGAAACAGGTATGAGAACAGAAATACAAATATTTCAGCTATTACAGATAACTTACCCATTTCAGACCCTGTTAGGGACAGAAAACAAATTGTTTTAAAAAATTGCACCAAAAAAAAATAAAAGTTAAATCTATCTCATAATTGACATC